AAAGGATTGCGACCAGAATTTGCTCCTGGAACTCCAGATTGCTATATTGAATTTGCTAAGCAATGCATGGATCCTGATCCAGAAAAACGGCCCAAGTCTACCGTTGTATATTATAAACTTAGAGGATGGAAAAAAATCATGGAAAGTTCAGATGATGATGAAATTAAAAATCAATTCTTAGAAGCAGATCAAATAGTAAAAAAATTACCAATTGTTCTGCCAAAACATCCCGACCATATATATACTAGCAAAATTATCAATACACAAAGAATATTAAATGCTATTAATGCTTTTAAAGGTATTTATTTTAAAATTTTAATGATTTATTAAACTATTAATTATTTAAGATTAATTATTTTATAATAATTAGAACCTTAGAACCTTTATTAGATAAATCTGTTAATTTTGTTGAATAAAATAGAATAAAACATTAAATTTAGTTTTTGGTATTTATATTTTATCAAATTTATTATTTTTATATATATTTAATATTTAATCAATTTTATTATTTTATATATATTAAAATTTAAATTATTAAATTATTTTTAAAAATATATAATTTAAAAATTTTCTTAAAAAATATACTATATTTTTCAATTTTTTATTTAATTTATAAAATTGCAAAATTAAATATATATTAATAATAACTAATTCTGTAATTCTCTCTGTAGATCGCTTGTACCAAATTTTGTTAAAAATATATAATTATTTCTTAATATTTCATTAAGTAAACCTTACTTGCATCTTTAAGTAAAGTTGTTCAACTTATTTTTCTTCTCCTAAGTGGCAAGTTTTATGTTTTTGCAACACTTGATCATTAAGAAAAATTTTAAAAACTAAAATATTAGTTTTTGCCTATTTGTTATATATTTTACTAATTAAATATATTAATAAAGAACAAGTTCTCTGTTTGGTTATATTGATATATATTATATTACAAATAAACCAAAACTTATTGAGATATTAGAAAAAAAATAAAACCAAAACTTGTTTTTGCAAATTATTTTATTGATAAATTTAGGAAAATTCATTGGGTTGTTTTAGAAAATTTACTTTTTTAATATTTATTAAAATTTTCTAAACATCTAACTAGTCTTTCTACAAATTCCACATCTCTTAGATCCTTTTTAACTTATCTATAAAGTTCTCAAATTAGAAAATTTTATTTAAAAATCAGATTATTTAATTTGATTTTATATTAGTACAAATATTACATTAAGATAGTTATACAAAATACTTAATATTATCACTGTTGAATCAGACTTCTTTGATTTAAATATTCTTTAAAATAAATATAGTGGTTGAACTTTAGTTATTTTAGACAAAAATTATAAAAATTTCAAAATCTTTCTATCTAATTTCAATACTACACTATGTGATATTCATAATAGTTATTATTTTTTCTTTAGTCCTACTTAACCTATTATTACCAAATATTTTGTAAAAAATATTATATATATTTTGCTTTACAGTATTTATCATTGTTATCTATCTCTGAAACCACCTCTACAATTACAATTGAGTTATCCAATTTAATAAAAATTGATCTTAATATCAAACTTTATAAATTTCTTAATAATATACCAAAATTATCTTTTTAATCTAAACACAATATCATCTATGCATTTTCCAACTATTATAGCAATATCGACAAGATACCAATAATTCAATCTTTTTCTTTGTCTTTTTTTATTATGTACATACATGTATTATTTACAAAACTAAAGATATATTTTATATTATAGTAATTAATAACAAACACTCATTAGATCCAAAAATTCTTATATTCAAAATTAAAATAGGTAGCTTTCTAGCTTATTTTCAATGTATCTATAAACTCAAACTAAAACTAGTCAAATTTACAAGTCCTATGAACTAGAAACAATATAGACTTTATTGTATAATCAAATGTCTACAATTATCTGCAGAAAATAAGTATATTTTTTTAAAAAAATTTTGAACAAACTTATCAAAAAAATTAAAAAATACTGATAAACAATTAGACAATAATTCTAATATAAAAAAAACTCTGAATAACAATAAATAGAAAGATGACAATAATAAATAACTTAATCAAAAAACAAATATCTAAAAATGTAATACCTTTAAGACTTTACTAGTTTAAAAACTATTCTGTTATACTAACTTTGCAACAATACAATAAACTTAATATTCTACTAACCTTATAACTATTTATCCTTTTGAAGTTTGACTTTAGAACTTTATTTCTAGACAAATTATTTCAAACAAATTTGATAATAATAATAATAAACACTTGCTAAATACTTCTTCAACTATATTCTTAATAAAATAGTAAGTAAAAAATCTAAGTTTTTGTTAAACTTTATTATTAATTCAAGTCCCAACTTTGATAAATCAAAACCAATTCTTTTTAAAGCTTTTCATAATACTCTCAAAGGCTTACTCTCTAAATTACAAAGATGTTCTTCATTCAACTAGACTATCTTAATATTCTTTGATTACACTACTTTATTCTATTCTGTTCACATACTAATAGATATAAATAGTTATAAACTTAGTCTATTTATATTTTTATCTAAATCATAAATATAGAATTATTAATTATGAAAAAATTTGACATCAAACTATTATAGTTTTTATTTTGATATTAAACACAACTCAAAGTAATTCGAAATTGCAATTCAAAATAATAACTAATTTAATATTAATATTTTACTTTAACATTTCATCTGAAAATTTTTAAAAGATTTTAGAATTCATAACTCAAGTCTTATTTTGCAATTTATAAAACCTGGTTTAAATTATTTTTTGAAAATACAGCATTCAGTTTGACAAAACTAATCAATAGAAAACAAGCAACTATATTAAAATACTAATATTACAAAAACTAACTAAGTATATAAAAAAGTTTACCAAAATTATATTTTATATTAAAGTTATTATATACTTTTAAAGAGTACTCTGAAGTAACTTTTAAAGCAGCACTTCACTATATTTATTTTTGTACTAAATGATTGTAACTTATTACCCAAATCAACAGAACATAATTTGAAAAACATCTCTAAATATTACTTTACTAATTTTTTCAAAACCTATATCAGAATTAAAACAAAAAGAATAGGTATATCCAATATTAGAAACTAATATTTTTTATCTAAAACAAAAACTTGTAACAAGTTTTTCTATACCAATACCTACAAAAGAACTTAGAGACTTAGCAATGTCTACAGAAAATCTCTTCATATATCTCAACAAAATAGAAAGTAATACAGCTCAATCTATATACTGCTTTTACCACTAACTAAGAAAGAGACAATGATGAACTTACTGGTTTATCTAAAAAAGAAGTTCTAGAAAAAATGATTAAAACAACAAATGATATACATATTTTTGCAAAAGATATTATATACTTTAAACTAGAAATAGGATTTAAAATATTACTAAAACAAATACATACTAACAATAATCAATTTTATTACTCTGAAACTAAAGATTTCTTGATAAAACATCTTAAAATCTTAATTCAAAACAATATGAGAATTTCCTTTTATACAAAATTCTGATGCATTTACCTCTCAAGAAGTAGATAAGAATACACCCATACCCTAAAAGAAATTATAAAAATAATCAAAAATACTACCCTTATTTCACAAGAGGAAAGTGTAAATCTCTTTCTTTTCAATAATGCCTTCTATAGAATATATTGATACAACTGCTATTTCTAAGATTATAATGTTCTTTATACTTAATAGAACTCTTTAGAGAAGAATGATGATAATAGACAGGCAATAAAGCCTAGTGTGAGCAAATCTGTAGATAATACACTATATAATGTCTCTAATACCAATACTTCAACTTCTTCAAAGACAAACACTTACTATAACAAGTTTTTAAAATAATATTATCTTTACTATTACAATTTACTATACTTAATGATTTTATTAAATACTTATACAAAAACCTTTTCTTTAATCTAATTAAAATATTAGTTAATAATGAAAAAACAAAAATATATGTTTATACTAAAGTTACAAATCTTACTATTTCTAATTATATAAACCATATTCAATACAAATCCTATAAACATTTATCTATTCTAATATCTTAAAATCACAATAGTCACTACTCTTCAAACTTCATGACACCTAGAATACAGTCCAATAATAACCAACTTTACTTATCAATCAGTATACATAATGTTCAAGAATTTAATAAAGACAAGTATAAGAAGATTACTGCCTCTCTAATAATCTTAGCATCATCAATATAACAAAAACCAAAATTGTAGCCAATAACTTAATTACCAAACTATAAAAATCTAAACATTTCACATATCTGTAGTCATATACTGAAAGCTCTAAAGCAGGTACAACTATTATAATTTACAAGTTAATAAAAACTTATATTTACAAAATACTTTCTTTTTTATGATATGCTATTGTAGCTGATATTTTCTTTAAACATAATTTTAATTTCAAAATTATTTCAGTTTATTTACTATGTAATAATACTCAACTAAGACTGTTAGTACAAAAATACTATAATACAATAGCTCTAACAAGCCTACACATCAAATATTTAATCTATTGTTTTAAAAGACTTTAATGCTTCTAATAGTGTTACTTACTCATTATTAATTAAATATAAGCTGCTTCATTTCCTCTAATACAACAACATGCATAACCTGACTACATATACTCATATCTCAACATCTATCTGCCAAAGTAACAGATACTATAGTAACATAGATTACATTTGGGCTAACTAATCGCTTCTATGATACCTTAATTCTTTTACTTTAAATAATCCTAATACTAGTACACAAAGTGATTTTAAATTTCTAAACTCTCATTGGTCTTTTCTTAATACATATACAGACAAATCTAAACTCTTTACCAAAACTTGTAGAAGAACATTTTTATATAAAAACATGAATAAAAACAAATAACAACAATTTGCAGACTATGTAATCTCAAATCTCAATAATAACAAAACACTTCTTATTATACAAACCTTATAAACACTAGAATCTTCTTGGCACAAAATACAAAACAGTATTATCTTTGCTACTATATAACATATTCCAAATAAAAAATTCACAATTAGAAATCTTTAAAACATTTTCTCTATAAAAGTATTATCTTTATACCAACATCTTAAAACATTAGACAACATATTAAACAAGTCAAATATTTACTAAAAAACTCCAGCTCTATACTACACTAACATAATTATCTTATTAATTAAATAAACATCTTTATATTTTACCTCTATTAGTAGAACATAACTTATTGCAAAACTGGTTAGTATTTGCCAAAACTGAATGAAAATCCATTTATTAAACTGATGTTTTTAAAAAATTTACTATTACTAAAATAACTGAAACACTATCTTATCTTTTAAATAACAAAGCTATAACCCTTTTGAAATTAGT